TGATTGGTGCTATGTGGAATCTTTTGGTCGTGAAGGGAAGAATCATTTCACAGAAGCACCTTCAGCTGAACATTTGAGTCTCTTTTATAGCCAGTCTCCAATCTCTCATATCCATAAGGTATGCTGTGACTGAAGGACGTTATATCAGGAAATTGTTCGACATGGTTAAAATCTTTGTACACCTTAACTAGACAATGCCTTATGCCATTGTTACACCAACTCTATGACAAGATAAAGGTAAACCTCTAGCGGAATACCAATAACAGATGAAAGATGCATGCATTGCAGAACCTTTTGCTTGTGGATTATTATGGAGATAACTTTGAGGTGGGAGGGACAGGTTAAACGGTCGACATGGAAATGTTCCTTCCGTTGCATTATAGCGATCTAGTTCCTTAATGTCCAGTGTGTTTTTCAACATATTCTTTTGCTCTAAGTGAAAGCTACATTTGATTTTATTCATCTCTCTTTCTGATAATCTTCTTTTCCTTTTTCCGGCCATCTTTGTTTAGAGAAACAATTTGTTCCCATTTATGGTTTCTCCTGCAATGATAGGAAGTATTTGTCTTTATAAACATTGCAGGTCAAGACACCTACCATTTTCCTTCTCGGTGCTAAGGATCTCCGTGTTCCAGTTTCTAATGGGTTACAGGTAGGAGTCATTGCAATTACAGATCGGACTACGCTGACATTGATTATATTAACTTATCCATAGAGACTGAACTTTGGTACCTTCGACTTAGCAGATTGCATGGATGCCAATTGTGCTGATTTTTATCCTGCTTTCTCTTCTCATTTTACCCCTTTCTGACTTCTCTATAGTTTACTTTGCATGGAATTCTGGCTAATCTACCTAATTAATACTTTGGTTCGAACTTTACAGTATGCTCGGGCACTAAAGGAGAAAGGAGTTGATTGTAAACTAATTGTATTTCCCCAAGATGTTCATAGCATCGACAGGTATAGGGCCATTTCCCATTTCTGCACATTCTAGCTTTTTGCCATAAGTTTTAAGTTCGAAGTAGCATTCTAGTTTTTAGGCTAACCATAATCCCCTTTTATGCAGACCACAATCTGATTTCGAAAGTTTCCTGAACATTGGAGTGTGGTTCAAGAAGTACTGCAAATGAGCCAGAATATGAAACTTGCATTGTTGTATGGGTAACAATCAGATGCCTCAAATTTGATGTTCAATCATAGCATAAATACAGGCCAAAAACAAAAAATCATTGTGTATATTTGGGGGCGAAAAATCGAGGACCCGCAAAAAGAACATTCCACATGCTCATCAGGAGCAAGGCCTATTTTACAAGTTAAGGGTTCTCGTCTTCCATTTGAATAATGATGCCGGATTCCTGTCAATAAATTATGTTTCTTTGGTCAAATTTTGCAATGTTACCCAATAACTAGTATGGAACAACAAACCCACGTAAGTCCATTTTCTGAGAATGGCCGATTGGGAGAAGCGAGCCTCTATTGTATTTTTCTAATCTTCGTAGCTTAACGTGCTGTATATGTAAAGGGACTTGGATGGGGGATAATTTGCAGTCACTTGAAAGCTTGGAGAAACCGCATTGAGATGATAGTAGGTAGATCATTTTGCCATTGTGGTTCTGCCCATTTTTCTTAATGGGAATATATCCGCGTGTTGCGCAGGGTCATATGTTATCTATTTTGTGGGAACTATTTTTAAGGAGAGCTAGATCAAAATGTTATGTTCCCATCATGAGGCTCAAATCTCAAACTACTTAACAATAGTTATAGTCTAGAAATAATCAACGTATTGGAAGATTACCTTACTGAAAAAGCATAAGCTATTTAAGATTCTCCACCAAATGAAATCAGTTTGTCTCCAGTTCTTTCCTGTGTTTTGGCTCGAATCCTTCGTTTCTTGCTTAAAAACAGGGGGCGATCCAAATGTTCCCGAAAAACTCAGTTAGCAAGTAATGACAGAAAGAAGATAAAAATTGATGTGCAACAGCATCTCCATTCTCCAAGTAGCATAAATGATTTCTGGGATCATTGCATGTCACTGTATCGATCAGAGTACATTATGTAAACTCCACCAGGTACCAACTTGTACATATATCATACAAAAGATTTGGGCTCCATCTGTTATGTCTTTTGAATGGCCTCTGTTTCCCACGTCAAAGAAAGTGTAACAGTCTTGAGGGAAAAAAAATAGTCTAGGTTCGTGTAAAACTTGCTTTCAAAAATGAACTCTTCGATCTGCAGGCAACGATTGCGTGATGTGCGTGTAATTTCTTCAGCATTCTCTATCATGTGCTACCCTTTTGTTACATAGTTTTTCACCTTCTTGTACAGAGTTTCACAGAGCATAACTTTCCTTTTATGTAGTGAACAGCACAATGAGGTGGTTAATGAATTAGAGGATATTTCTAGGTGCTATGAGGATATTTCTAAGTGGCGAGTATCTTATATGTTGCCATGAGTATATTTTTGGACCACAACTTCAATAGTTTCTTGCAGAGTAGCGCCACCCGATTGCTGGGGTCTGGGTTATCCTCCATTCCTAGATTAGTGCAGAAGGAGTAAGTACAAAAGGAAAAAGGAAGAGAACAGAGTAGTAGAAAACAAAGAAACAGAATAGGTGAAGAAGAAAAGGTTCAATGACGTTTAAAAAGCAAGCGTTCCTAGACAGCTACCAATGGAAACCAGGGTAGACAGATTCTTTAACAATTCTGTAGAATATCTGGTTAGAGCTCAATCCAGTTAAAATCGAATTGTACCTGGCTGCTTATGATGATGAACACGTTGTTGCTTTGTGTCAACTGAGAGGATTTAAGAAAGGCAGTCTAAATGTGAGATATCTAGGACTGCCTCTGATTTCTAGCAGTCTAAGTAATTCTTAGCATTACTTCGACAATGGAAAGCTGGAGCTCAACGCACTTGAGTTATGCAGGAAGATTGCAATTTGAAAAAATCTGTGGAATCTACCTCGTTAACTACTGCTGCCAGAAGATTGTCAAAGAAAAAAGAAAGCGAGTGCTCTGCCTTCTTGTGGAGTGGATCCTCCACCAATGCTCATGGAGCAAAGCTGCATGGAATGAGGTTTGGGATTTGAGTAATCTCACGGGCTCTGCAACTCTGCTTGCATCCTGAAGAAGTTTGTGGAGTCTGTTGCTTCAATTTGGATCTTCAAAGCAGCTTGTCCTTTAAACTGCTTGATACTGAATCACTGATTCATTCCTCAAACAATGGCCCATCTTCCTTATCTATTATTTAGTTCAGATTGAGGTGGAGGCTGATTAGTTGAATGATCCGAGTGACAAACACGTACGCACAAGATTCAAAATTCACGGAAAGTGGCATGTCCCCTCCTAAGTAAGAGGTTAAATTGCTTTGTCTGGCACCTCGTGCGGACCTCGACATCCCTTAGACATTAAACACACACAGAGTATTCCCTTCCTTTGGAGAAAATAAAGATACAAGGGGAACAAGAGGACTGGACATGCGGGTACCGGCACGTTAAAATAAGGCAATCATGTCAGCCTGCCACGTCTTGGTTGGTGCTTCAGCACCTGCTCTATGGTGAGGATTCTCTTAACCACCAAGAATCCACGGAGTGACAAACATGTATGCACAAGATGTATGCACAAGATACCTCATACAGTGGCCCATCTTCCTTATCTATTATTTAGTTCAGATTGAGGTGGAGGCCGATTAGTTGAATGATCGAGTGACAAACATGTATGCACAAGATTCAAAATTCACAGAAAGCAGCATGTCCACCTTCAATTGGCGGGGTAAGATGAGAGAGAAAGAGAGAGTGTGTTCTTCCATTGCTCATTTTCTTCAACAGAGGCCATGAGTTTTGGTATGTTGGTCAATACATACTAAGAACAGAGACTGGTAGAATTTTTTGATAATATAATTATGTACGCTAAAAAATTGCCTCACTATAAGTAGTTATTTATATTTAATATTTTCTTGTAAATTAACAATTAATATTCCTTATAACTTATATTTTCATTTAATGCCATTTAACTACCTGCATTTAGGAACCTTTATTTCAAATGTCCTATGCACAAATGCTTAGAGTTAATGGTTTCCAAATATTCACGATCGTATTAATCAATTAATCTTTCTCTCACGCTTTTTCATTATGGTTGTCATACATCTCTTAGTATGTAAAACGTAAAATTTAATTAACAATTGTAAGAAGCGAATATAATTAAGATAAGAATAGTAAATTTTGCCTCCAACCAAGATTAACACCAGAGGATCACGTAAAACAGGAGATTGAACATGAATCGGCTTAAATAGAACGTTGATAATACATCCATGGCAATTTTTTCGCAAAAAATAAAATAAAATTACACGGTATATATATATATATCTCCCTTCCTTTTTCAATCTCATTGTCATAATGCAATTTACTCGACTCCTTCATCTTCGTAGTATGCATAATGCTAGATCAGTGAAGATGTTCAAAGATTATTTCAAATTAGCCGATATGAGTGACCAAGAAAAAAAGAAGAAGCCGAGATGTATTTGCTCTCTGTGATTTACCGAACAAGCATGATTCCAAGACTTACTGTGAAGATCGGTGTTTCCACAGGCTGTTAAAACCCCTCTCCTCTTCTAGGGGTGATGGGAGCTCCCCTTTAGACTTTTGAAATTTGAGTTTCCTTTTCGGTCTTAAGTCTTTCAAGGCGGTGAACGTCTTAATCAACCAATCCGGTATTCCTACTTTCAACATTTATGGCACGGCCAAATCTCTTGTGGTGTCATGTCATAGAAGCCAGATATTGCCCATCCGATAACTCATTAGAAGCTAACTTCGCATCCAAGCTAACTGTCTTGGAAATCCATCCTAGCCATACTTAAAGGAGCAACTCGAGTTACCAGTACTGACGGCTAGCTAGGACTGTTCTCTATCCTTTACTTTTCGGCGCAAATGTTTGTCACCTTCGTTCACAGGATGCGGCATGCTGTGAAGGATCAAATTTCACATTCAATGGGTTCATAATCCTGAATTGCTCCTCGGATACTAAGGATTTTACTATCAGCAAATTATGGATCTGGGATATGGTCTTCACACTACAAGATTTAAATTTATAGCAAAAATCTTTAATCATGAACGCTACGAACAAATTGTTACCACCATATATACAAAATTAAACCCCCCCCCCTCCTCTTTCCTCAAGATTAGTCCCTCCCACCCACAAAATTTTTTCCTAAATATATTCATCACTTCTCATCGTTCCAGGAACTTTCATCCGCGTCGACATGAAATTCATTGTCAAAAATCGAAAACCCGGCCTCTCTCACCGCCCTTCACATTGCTTCGTGCTGCCACGACTGCACAATCTCCTCGAGCCCCGACTTCCAATCGCCCCACTGAACCTCCTCAAGGCTCGCTCCGCCATACCCGACCGCCCTGACCTCCACCATCAACAGCGACTCCGCAATCTCCGACACCTCCACCGCCAGAACCGACCCGACCCCCTTCCCCAATCCTATGCTCCCCCCCTTCCTCGTCTCCACGCTAAACCCTAATTTGCTCCCGACGTCCTGGACCTTCTCCGCTATCGCCTCCACCGACGCCCTCGACGTGAATCGCTTCCCCTTCGTACCACCCGTCGCCTCGAACAGCCCCGACAGGTCCAGCCCCGAGGACAGCGAGATTATGTCGAAGGCATTCATCGTCCCGACCGCATGGTGTTTAGAAACTTGCATATCGGGTTCGGCGATCGGGGCTTGATGGGACCGAGGCTTCGGATTCGAGGATTTCTTGAACCAGGAAGCATTCATGAGAGTCTCAAGGCTCATTCTTGAATTGGGGTTCGGATCAAGAAGCTGGTAGATTATGTATCTCGCGGGCTTGGAGATCCAATCTGGAAAACTGTAGTCCCTCGTGTGGATTTTCTTGTACATGGCGACGAGGTTGTGGTCGTCGAACGGCATGAAACCGGCGAGGAGGACGAAGAGGATGACGCCGCAGGACCAGGCGTCGGCCTTGGAGCCATCGTAGCCGCGGCGGCAGACCACCTCCGGGGCGGTGTAGGCCGGGGTCCCGCAGGCCGTGTGGAGGAGCCCGTCCCGGAGCTGCTCAGGAAGTGCCGAGAGGCCGAAGTCAGAGACCTTGAGCGCGCCGGCAGCGTCTAGGAGCAGGTTCTGTGGCTTGATGTCGCGGTGGACGACGCCGCTCTGGTGGCAGAAGCGGAGGGCAGAGACGAGCTGCTGGAAGTAGCGCCGGGCCGCGGGCTCGGTCAGGCGGCCGCGGCGGACGATCTTGGAGAAGAGCTCGCCGCCGCCGGCGAGCTCAATGACGAGGTAGATCTTGGTCCGAGTGGCCATCACCTCGTGGATCTTGAGAATGTTGGGGTGGCACTGGAGCCGCCGCATCGCCGCCACCTCCCGGAGTATCTGCGGCTCCATGGCGGACGTCACGGGCTTCGTCTTGTCGATGATCTTGATGGCCACCGGGGAGCCGTCGGCGAGCGACGAGGCCCGGTACACCTTCGCGAAGCTGCCCCGGCCGAGGAGCTGCCCCATCTGGTACTTCCCGAGGAGCGCCGCCCCCGAATCCTGGCGGCCCAACTTGCCGCCCCCCGGGAGGAGCTCGGGCCCCCCGGCCACCGCCGCGGCGGCGGCGCCGCCGGGGGCCGGAGGAGGAGGAGGGAGAGGAGCCGCCGCGTCCATGGACCCTTCAAGCGAGAGAAAGGGTGGCCGGCGACGGAGAGAGAGGGTGCGCCGGCGCGCGTTGTTATATGTACAGGGAATGAGTTACCGGCGGAGGGCGGAGGGGTCTGCGCGAGCTTTTTATACACGAGCCTTCGGGGGGGGGGGGGGGGAGGAAGGAGACGACGAAGACCCAGTCGGTTCGGGTAGGAAGTTACGGGAATGCCCCTGGCCTTCCTTATCGTCTAGTTGTCAGCTGGCTGGTTTATGGTAAATCCCCGTCTCTGATGATGCAGTGTTGACTGGACGTAGTAATCCTTTATTTTATTTTATTTTTTTAAAACTCTTTTTAACTGCGTGAAATTGGAAGAAAATTAGATAATATCCAGGTATATTCGGGTTTTAATTCCGCGTAATTACTGGTCTCCCTTCCTCGTTGACTCGTGCCGTTGGTGGGGCTTTTGACTGCCTCCAATTCCCTAATTAAAATTTTCTAGAACCCCCCCCCCCAAAAAAAAAGAGGAAAAAAAAGGAAATTAACGTATTTACAAAAAATCCCTTTTCTTGTGTGCTTTCAAAGTTCGATCTCGATTTGAAATCGAGCTGGCAAAGATAATCGAATCCAAATTACTCTCAAGTTCCCCATTGTCATCCCCTAGGCACGGTAATTTTGTTTATGTAATTATCGAGGTCATTAGGAAAATGCGACGATCCATATCGAAAATTCCCTCCCCCCTCACCTGTTTACGAGTATTCGTCAGTGATTTCGCAATGATGATTCGTTTAATTTACTCTGATTATAGGTTTCGACAAGAATTGCACGATGATCGCATTTCAATTCCATAGATAAATTACTCCAGATTGAGCCTTCAGATTTGGGAAAAGATGATAATTATCCCTTTTTTGTAGTTACCATCGGATGATTTTCCATGATGATATTGCATTTAATTCCATGGCCATAATTAGTCGCATAATCTTCCATTCCACTTTTCATAATTCGAATCCTTACTACCCCATTTTTTTCTCCTTCATTTAAATTTAAAAAAAAAGACATTTGTATAACTTGTTTATGGCTATATTTTCATTTCGCTAAAATTCTTTCGAGCCGTGTCCAGGCTAATTCGGGCCTGCTCCGGCTCAAACCAAAATATAATACGGAGTATTCGGTCCGACCTTTCTTGCTCCTGGTCTAATTTTTTTTCCCTCGTCCTTCACAATTATACGCTTAATTGACATCGCCTGTACTCGTAAAGAAAATATGAACTTTCGAAAAGCTCGTGACCGTGGATCTCACGTGATTTGACGACTCGCATAAAAAGGATATCAACATAGGTACATAATTCTTTATTAGGGAATATTCTGTTAACTATTTCACTTGGTGGGGACATTAGCAGTCCAATTTTGTCGGTAATTAACGCGACTAGAGAGAGAGAGAAAGAGAGAAAAGAGATGAACGGTAGACAATTTCCGAGAAAGCAAGTTGTCGAAAAAGAGCAGGTGCATGAAAAGGAAAGAAACGTACGACAGAAGACAGCTGCTGAAAGTTACTGCCGCTTCTGAAAACATATTCAATGACAGCGACGCCAACGTTACACAAAATATCCTTAAAATCGGCAGATCTTCGATAGATTCCAACGTCTGATGATAGGTTGGCGGCAAGATCGGCGAATCACATGCCCGCCTCCAAAGAGGGGGGAGGAAATTTCAAGAAAAGGGAAAAGGGAAGAAAACACGAGGCTTATGATGTATCTTCTGTCGTCTTCCCCACGGATTTTCCCGGCCGAGAAAGAACGAGGAAAGAGACGTTTCGAGGCAGCGTTTCCAGGCTGGTGTTTGAAGGGCCGTCGCTTCAGAAGACCGACTGGCCACCACTAACTCCATTGCGCACAACATGCGCAAAATACTTTCCCATCTGTCAAAGCTGCTGCTGCAACTTGGAGGTAGGGTTTCAGGTCAAAGGTCTAAACCCCTCCTCTTCGAGTTTCCGGGAAAGTTCAGCTCGCGGGGGGTTGGTGGCGCCACCTCCATCGCTGCACCGATTGCTTTCGCATGGAGAAACATGCTGGCGACGCGCTGACTGATTTTCATAAGCTGGATGTGCATATTTAAATGAATGATATATATATTTAAATGGTTTTAATAAGTACAGAAGTTCTTTTACGTGAAGCTTACGGAAACAATTCAGGTGTGCTGACTTGATGCGGGTGATACCGTGACGTATCACGTTCAAATGTTACAAGGAATGAGAGTTCTCGAATTATATTGATCAATAAACAAAAATTGCTTCATATTGTTTATACCAAGTGGGACGAAGAAACTAGTTTCTTGAAACTTAACCTAATAAGTTAGAGTCGCCCCTGTAGAAACTAGCCCCCGAATCGCTCATGTCCTCGCGTCCTAAACAATCAGCCCAAGATTTTGGAGGGAGCACGTCGGATCTTTCTCCAAAATTTACAATCTGAAAAAGGAGATTTTGTTAACACAAATGATTAACCTTTAGTACACAGGCTAAGTAACTTTTTTTATTCATAATCACAAGCCACCTCCATCATTCTTTAATGGGGTTAGTGATGCTTTTACTAATTAGCTAACATTATAAATAAATGGCCATAAAATCTAGCTTGGGTTAGAAAATTTACACTCCCAACAAACAAAAGAGCCATCTTTCGCAAAGAAGTTCTTACACACCTTTCATGATAGAAACCCATCGAGGGATGCTTCACCTAATTATCAAGTTCACGATATCGATTAAATAATATTAGCACCAAAATTGTGGGACATGGATTGCACTATTCCAATTAATGAATCATTTAGATGTTCAACTCATTCAAGACGGTCCAACCACTCTTTTTCTCTAATTTTTTTTTTCTTCTTATTTTTAACCTTTTGCAAGATAGTGTCTACATCGCAATGGTGACGGAATGAACCATATAAAAATACCCAATGGAAAGACATCAAGGCGTTGTCGTCATTGCTTAGCCGTCTTTGTAGAGAAAGAAATCACTCAAAATGGGAGTTACGAAGCTCGTTCACGTCCCTTTCTTGCTTTCTTTTTTCTTCTCTCGAGTTTTATGTGAAGTTGTCCTCGTGCTTATTTCCGGTGGCTGCTGAAAATACTCCGCTCGGGTACGTCCAAATCCGAGAAGAGAAGTAAAGAAATTGACTACTAATACTACTACTACTAATACTATTATTATTATTATTATTATTATTATTATTATTATTATTTAAATTTTATGGGAAGTGAAGCATATGCTAATATTACGTGGCTACCAATAACCGGTGAAGGAGTATCGACGCATGAAATTCGAAAGAAGAAATTTCTTTTCCTAGAAGGGAAAAATTGAAAACGTGTTGCAGTGATTTAAGTACGACATAAAATAATGTGTTTAGAGTTAGTTCTTTTAAGCGTAAACCCTCTTTTTGGCTAAACCCTTCTTCACTTAAGCCCGTATAGCGGACAAAAATTATGAGAACCCATCCTCGCGATGCTTGTCGATTACATTTTTACATTTTTTATCGCTTTCGGAGTTGCTACTTATAGCTAGTCATATTTGCATTAGAGAAGGAATAAAGACAGGAGGACCATAATAAATTAAGGCTCAATTTATTTCGTCGAAAATGAATGTTTTCTTAAAAATGATCAATTGTATCGCTTATAAAAATAAACGAACGAAAAAAAATTTCGCCATCCACGAAATTATTTAGACATAAATTGTTATCGTTAAATAAAAATATTTTTCATTGACTAATTATTTCAAGCGATACATGTGATCTTTTTGAGAAAAATATCTTCCAAATCATTCATTTTCTGTTAAACAAATGGAGTCTAAATGGCATACCATGTATCAAATGCATCATCAAATTTGAGATTTATATATGCAATGTGGATCTTGCAACGACTCTTCTTTTCAAACTTGAGTGGTTTCTACACTAATAACGTTTTAATTATGTATTATTTAGCGCACTATACTTCAAATGTATATAACAATTACGCACGAATCACATGCTGTTCTGTCACGCTCACCTTTATATTACAATAGACTTTACTATAAACTCATCTTTATTCCTTTCCTTTTCTTGTATCACTTCTTTTCTCTCTATATACTCATATTCCTCGAGCCTCACATGAATCATGATGGACTATATAAGAATCCTCGGTCAAAATTTAGGGTAAACTATATTATCTTTTGATACGCGTATAATGCTTTTCTTCTCCTTTTCCATTTATTTTCCAATTTCTAATGACAAAGCAAATGGGGACGACCCAACGGAAAAATCTTCAGCGGCTGTCGCTTTTGGGAGCAAAAGCGACAATCCCACTTATTCGATATTGATGATACATACATTAGAAAGAGCGCACAAGCATAAATCAAAGTGCACAAGTGATGTCCAACTAATATTAGCATAAAAAAAAAAGGAACTTGGAGGAGGCAGGATTATAATAATTGTGTAGATTATCGCAATTATCGTCCCTTTGTCCACTAGATATTTTTTATTTATTTTTTCTTCTAAATTAATTCCAACGATACACGTAAATTGTCGTGTCCATTTGCATAGAGCGCAATTCATTGAATGGGGTAGATAACACTTAAGATTAGCGCGAATGAAGAAGCTGTTATTTGAACACGAGTTTTGTCGCATCCAAAAGAAACCCTAAATTAATCGGAGATTTTGATGCAAAATTCTTTCTAATCATAAATCACCATCAATCTTACTGGGTTTCTCTCGTCTGGTAATGTGTTATAGGCTAATACAATAAATACAAAATTCAACCAAAAATGTAGATAACTAAAGCCCGTCGTTATTAAACAATTTGGGACTTTTTTGGCATTTTCTGGTTAATTAATATCAATGATACACGTATATCGTCCTGTCCATTTGCATAGAGTGCAATTCATAGAATGAGGTAGATAACACTTATAATTATCGCGAATGAATAAGATTTTATTTGAACACGAGATTTGTCGCATCCAAAAGAAACCCTAAATTAATCGGAGATTTTGATGCAAAATTCTTTCTAATCATAAATCACCATCAATCTTACTTGTTTCTCTCGTCTGGTAATGTGTTATAGGCTAACACAATACATA